TGGGGCTGTTGTGGGGGTCACAAATCATGCTCGTAAATGTGGGAACTGTAAAACATGACACCAATGCTTGCAGGAGAGACACCATCATTGTAAGAGGTCTCCAAGGAACAAGCCTCCCCACTTCCAGAGTGAGTGAACTGAACTGGGGGGAAGGGTTAAAGGGCTTGAGTCAGCCTGCTTCACACCTGCCAGGAGTGAGCTGTAAGACTTGCCGGCTGGAGGTCAGGGCTTGGATTCGCGTCCTTTGTGCTGCGCTCTGACACCTTTTCTGCACAGGGCCTGCGTGAGGTGTGGGCAGCCGGCTCCCCCGCATCTGGCCTGGTGCTTTATTATTGCCCTTCCGGCCTGGCCCGGGCGGCGCCTCCTTCCTGAGGTGCGTCCCGAAGCTGCGGGCTGTGCCTGGTGGACTGGCAGGGGATGCAACTCAGCCCAGCACCCCTGAAGTCAGCAGAAATTCGGACCATTTCCCCCAGCTGAGGGCTTGGCTCCTTGGTGACCTCAACCCTGTTTCTTTAAAACCCAGCATTTATAATTATACATTTTGGCTGCATCTAGACTGGCAAGTTTTTCCGCAAAATCGCATGATTTTGCGGAAAAACTTGCCAGCTGTCTACACTGGCCGCTTGAATTTCCGGAAAAGCACTGATGATCTCATGTAAGATCATCAGTGCTTTTCCGGAAATACTATGCTGGCGCTACAGGGCCAGTGTAGACAACGTGGTATTGTTTTGTGCAAAAAAGCCCCGGTCACAAAAATGGCGATCGGGGCTTTCTTGAGCAAAACCACGTCTAGATTGGCATGGACGCTTTTCCACAAAAAGTGCTTTTGCGGAAAAGTGTCCATGCCAATCTAGACGCTCTTTTCTACAAATGCTTTTAATGGAAAAACTTTTCCGTTAAAAGCATTTGCGGAAAATCATGCCAGTCTAGACGTAGCCTTTGTGGGGACAGAGTTCTGCGGCGGGGGGCAGGGAAGAGGGTACTGAGTGCTGGGAGGGCAGAGGACAGGGCTCTGCAGCTGGGGACAGGGTGCCAGTGGGGACAGGAATAGGGACAGAGTTCTGTAGCTGGGAACAGGGGAGTGGGAACAGAATTCTGTGGCTGGGGACAGGAGAGTGGGGACAGAGTTCGGGGAGTGGGGAACAGAATTCTGTGGTTGGGGACAGGGGAGTGAGGACAGAATTCGGGGAGTGGGGACAGTGGAGTGGGGACAGAGTTTGGGGAGTGGGGACAGGAGAGTGGGTACAGAATTCTGTGGCTGGGGGGGGGGGGGGGCGGGGGGGGGGGGCGGGG